AAAATGACCATTTTAAGAATAAAAATAAAATAATAATAATTTTTTTGCTAGTTTATAAGTTTTTACACATAATAAAACAAATAAACTGGGTTTTTTTAAAATTTTATATTAATATTTAAGTAAGCTGAAACTAGTCGGATGACTTAAATATTTCGTTGGGTGGGGTGCTATAATGTGGGAGAAACATTTCATGACAAATTCTTTTTCATTTTCATAAATAATTTAATATTGAAAGGGCTGCCAAAAGTGAATTCAGGAAAACATAAAGCAAATCAGATTTTTTTTTCTAAAAATATCAAACTTAAGACAAAATATGGCAGGATAACTCATTCACTGCGTAATTCTCAGTAATCTTGCCATAGGTTTTTGTGAGTTTTGATGTTTCGAAAATTTTGTTTCAGCATTCAAAACTTCCTGATTTACTTTAGGCTCAATTGAACTCACTTTTCCTATACATTTAGTTTTCAAGTACCAATGGATGGAAAATAAAAATTCTGCCCCGGAATAGCGTTCTCTCAATGATATCTTATAAACGGCATAACGAATCGAAAAATTTAAAAGATAAATAAGAAGTGGATACCAAACGGAAAAAAAAAAATCCTGAAATCGAAAGAAAATTTTTTTCCGGTGAAAAATCAAATTGCAGTAAAATGTCCCGGCAGGGTACTTTTTACTGTAAAATCCTTTTTCAGCGTAAAATTTTGCTGAAAAAATCTGATACACTGTAAGTATAAAATTTTAAGGTAAAAATGGATTAAGTGGTTAAAATGTATTTTACTAATGCTGCAAGTAGGGTGCAAGTATTTCCTACAGTAATTTTTTAAAGTGTATTGTTTAATTAGCTTAAACATACTTGTCTGGAAAACATTATGAAATTAAGACAATATAGGTGGGCGACTGAGGGAAATCCATTATATTTAATGGTTCACTAATTCGGAAAATTAGTTTGAAAAACTTAGTTTTATCACAAAATACCATAATACTGCCAATTACCTTAATATTGCTTCAATACAGAAAACTACCATATTACCCGGTAACTATAAAATAAATATGTCAAATAAAAAGTTTAATGACGCAGAATACAGTTATTTAATTTTTATAAAGAGAATATTATAGAGAAAAAAAAGAAAGTTGCCCTGAAATCTCATAAAAAATTATTTTAAGGAATTTTATGAATGTTAAACTATTGTTTATTTCAACATTCTACAAAATAATTGAGACCTATTAGAAGAGCATTACTGGAAGTAATTGGGGTTGTATTTGAATTTTTTAGCCTAAACTCCATATAGATTTCATAAATGCTTATGAATTTTTAGCATTTTAAACTCAAAAATTTCAATGATTGGTTTGCTGTGACAAATGATTGGTTTGCTGTGACATATATTCTGACGAATTATACTAAAAATATGATACATTGTTGTCCTCGACATCTGAAAAAACTATATTAATTGGAATAATTTCCCATTAAAATGTGCTACACAGTCTTCGAGATTTTATAAGCACTCAAAATTTCTGAAAAACGTTTTGCAGCTTATGAAAAACATTTTGGGGAATCTTGCTGAAATTTGGAAATATTCATTTCAAAATTCTGAGAAAATGGTAAACTGTAGGTAATTAACAATTAATTTGAACAGAGCCTTCGAGGGTTTACGCATTGAACGCTCAAAAGCTTTGAAATGTTTTTTCTTACAATATTTTTAAAAAATTTAACAAACCATAATAACTCATAAAAAAAGTGAATAAATGCGTATTATTTTGATGTGAAGTTTGGAATTTCCTCCATTGTGACGCTCTGAAAGGAGAAAAAAAGAACTTGCCATCGCTAGTCAAAAACTAGTCACCAATCATCGCAAAAAACCTAGTATTTTGTGTGTACAAACTTTAAAAAAAATGTGAATAAAGAAAAATTTTCGTAATAACAGATTTTTATTCTTTTCCGGAGATCATTTTTTCGCGTCACGAGGAAGTAAACCTTGATCAAAAATAAAATTATGTAAATAAGTAAATAAATAAATATAAAATGCTCGCTTTTAGCATTAATTTCCACAAAATGTCTATTCATACTTAACTGATGAAATTTCGCAGCTATTTTGTCATGTTTCGTAACGTACTTTTTTCAAGAGAGGAACATTAATGTCTCAATATTCCTTCAGATAGCGCTGCAAGTATTGTTACATTTTAGCGCGTAGACTCTTTATTGTACCTAAGCATTACTTGTATAACTGTAGATTCAGTAGATTTCATCGGCACTCTCACTTTATTCGAATCAATTCTGGATTGTTTTTATAAAATTCTAAATTATTTCTATACAAATCAGAATTATTCTGTTACAATTCTGAATTAATCTGTCACAGAGTTGAATTATTTTGTCACAGCGCTTAATTATTCAGGGACATCTCCGTGTTATTCTGTTGCGCAGTTCTGAATTATTCTGTTACAGCTCTGAATTGTTCTGTGATCATTCTGAATTATTTCGTGATCATTCTGAATCATTCTGTGATCATTCTGAATTATTCTGTGACCATTCTGAATTAATTTTTGGTACAAACAATGCTAAAATAATCTGTTTTAATTCCATTTTTAAATGTTCTGTTACAATTAGATTCTGAAGTATTCGATGGAAATTCTGAATCATTCTGAAACAATTCTGAATTGAAAAAAAAAATAGATAATAACACATTTGTCTGTGTTATGGTCAACTGTTTATTCTAAAACAACGTAGATCGATCTTTAGCATACCAGAAACATGGTCACTTTTCTATTCAGAATTAGTTAGATCGAAACCTTAATCTTCGGTTCAGTTTCCTGCATAGGTTTCGGAAACGAATTTTAGGAAGTTAATAAAATCGGAACTTGCGACTTCGTTTCGATTGATGGTGCCACGTTTAAGTTGTTTACAAAAGATACGAAAACGGAAAGGGTCGTTGACGCAACCCATGACGAGGAAGAGATCACTGAAGTCTTTTTCGAAAATCGCCCGCGAAACAGCCCTTCGGAGGTCATGAGAGGAAAAGTTAAGTACGTCGAAAGTTCGAGAAATAGGTTAGTTTGTAAGGTCAATAATCAATCTAGATCGTTTGTTCCATTCATCAGATAAGGGACATATTATCATAAGAGCTTTTGATTTCGTTTTCTTCAAAATGTCGAGAGATACATGGTTTCATTTGATGCTGAAATTGCGACTCGACTATATGGGCAATATATCACTATATAAATATATCACTACATAAATCACTATATATTTAGAACGAGATAATAACTTCTAATATGCTAATATGTTTGTTAATATAATATGTTTGCTAATAACTATTCTATAACAATCTTTTAATAATAATAAAAATTTAATAAACTTAATTTTCTTGATTTTTTTAAAATAAATAATATTTTTCATAATTTTTTTTCTCCTTTTTTTAAATCCATAATAGCTCAATAGTAAAATAGAATTTGTAGTTTGCTATGCTTAGGAAACCAGTTATTATTTCTTACTATATTTTAAAATTATTTATTAAGTTCGTTAGTCAATAGTATTACTGGAAAAAAACTGAATAATTATATTTTCAAAATAATTATCATTTGCAGTAACAATATAACGCAGTTTAACAGATTTGCGAACATACACTTCAGTTGGCTGAATAGACAGCAAAAAACCTTATTTTATAGTTATGACAGTTCTTAGGGCCATCTGTCGGGAAACTTTCTTACTAATCATGAAACTTTACGAGAATCAATAAGCTATTGCATCAAGCAAACAATCACAAAGTTTTTTATTTATTTTTATGTATTTTTTTCCATTGAGTTTTAGAATTTTTGGCATGAAAAGTCACATCATCAATTTAGCTATGCTCAGTGGATTTAGCTTAATACATTTTAGTTATAAAGTTGGGGTTCCGCCAAAAAAAGGATGATGATTTAGGGTTCCGTAAGCGAAAATAATTGGAAACCGCTGCCTTTAAAGCATAGCATAAGAGTCAAATATTCGGTTAAATTTAATGTTCAGTTTAGTATTTTTTACTACATATGTGGTAATAGAGCTATAACTGTGAAAACTAGAATTTCTGGTAAACCATTACCATATGAACAGAACCAAATGAATGGTTTAAATCTCGTTTATTTTGGATTTATTAATAAGAATTTTGCTAACAGCGACACATAAAAGTTAAAGAGCTGCAGATAAAATTCTGAATTCAGAGTCACCGCAGCATAACAAATTTAACTCAGTTTCTTTTAAAAAAAAATAACAATGGCGGAACTCTCTAGTATTGATACTAAAGAGGAACCACTCTACCTTTAAGAATGTGTATAAAATTTATATGAGCTTGCCTTCTCCTTATGCTGCTGCCATCTAGTGACAATAATGAAAATAAAATTTTTCGATTATTCCTTTCAAGAATAAAATGTATTGACAAAACTCGCGTTCTTTGTTATTCACGGAGTTCATTAAAATAATTTTACGTAGTCATAAAAATTAATAGTTAGTCATAAAAATTCATTTAGAGGAAGGGGGGAAGGGATACCCACTTTATAAAAAAAAAGAAAATTTAACAATATAGCAAATCGATAACTGATTTCAATGAGTTAAAAATTTTATGGAACTATTAACATTAGTAACTGGTGCCGCCATCTAGTGATGCTAATAAAAAGTAAATTTTAATCACTCACTTACATTACAAAAAGCAGAACTTATTCTGGTATTTTTAGAAAATGGCTGCTTTTTGAAAATATAAATCTAAGAGTATTCTGCTCAAATATTATTTACTTGCAATTTAAATGAATAAATTAAGCAGTTCGAGTCTTTAATTGCTATGTTAATAGTGGGAAAATGTCGCAAAAATTATTGTGTCGCTAGTAGTAGAAGGCGAAAAGGCCCAGATGAGTATAAATGGCTCATAACATATTTTAGCTATTTTGGTTAGAATAGTTTATCTTCTATAATATGTCTCTTATTAATACTTAACTTTAATTCATTAACTTGTACTTATTCTTAATACTTTCTTTTTCAGTTATACTCGCAACTTGGTGGATGAAGGTAATGGAAAGTACAATTTAATGCTGCTTGCCTGGGCTGAAGGACAGGGAAGCAGCATACACGATCATGCTGACAGCCATTGCTTCATGAAAGTAAATAATGCCAAAATATTTCTTCCTTTCTCCATGCCTTATCTCAAAACTTGGCAGATTATTTTCTCTTAAAATACGTTGTAGCATATTATTTTAAGATTCGTTGTAATGACGTCACAGTATTCTTAGTTTAGTTAATTTTAAGAGTTGACTTGAAAAAAAATTTCTGTGGCAATCTATAAGAACAACTTTATTGCTCTTCTTTTTGTTATTCTAGCTTTTGAAAAATTAAAATCCTTAAAATTGTTTGGCCGTTTAAAAAAAAATTAATTATTATTCCTATAAACAATGATTATTTCTGTTCATGTGAAATAATAACAAATCNGGTAAGTTTCATAAAATTCCATGTGTAATTTCTTGAGTTATCGCGATTTTTGTGAATTTTCCTTAATTTATGATAACCAGTGTAGATTACTACGCATTATAATTATTTTTTATAATGCTCGAAAATGAAAGAAGAAAATCCGAAATGTAAAAATGTTAAAAAAAAAATGTGTTAAAATTAGGTTTACTTATCTAACAGTTAAAAAAAAATTTAAGAAGAAAATAGCCTAATTAATTTGTTGTAAGCTTTTTAGTGTTAAATAATTGGTAAAAATATCAATCAAATCAAAACTCAGTGCTGCCATCTGGGAAAGAAACATTTTAGGAATAATAAAATAATAGTAAAATAAACAGAAAATTTAAGTAACAAAATCCATAATAGGAAAAGAGATTCACTAAATTCACTAAGGAATAGTATTCAAATTGTAAAATCATAAAAAAAATTTCATTAGGTATATATGCAGGGTTTTACATGCAAATACTAGGAATAAATAATTTTGCTGCATTCCTTCTTATAGTGGGCGACTAATTTATAAATAAGAGGATTCATGGCCGGATGGAGAGCCGTTTATAGAATTTTTCCTTCATTCATATTAATATATAAGTTTATCATTTTAAAAGCCCTAATAAAATAATGTCTCGAACTTTACCTTGAGCAAAACAAGTTTAGCAACCGATGACTGAAAAGTAAATCATTTCCGCAACATCTCATTGTGGGTCAAGGAGATCATTGAAGATAACGCTCAAAGATATAGTGATCAACGGCATGATCGCGGCAATGGGGTCATCATTGATCACCCAAGTCAAAATTTTAGATGGTTTTCCATTAATGGACCAACATAATCTTGATGGTAACCATTAATAATTGCATCATGAACTACTATATTTTTTGATGGTAACCAACATAAGTAACCATCTCCTCAATGTAGGAATTCGGACTGATTTATGATGGTCCAACATAAGAATAGAAACTTGCTTTGATGGTTTGTTCATGTTGAACCATCAGAAATTTCCATTATAGCTTCTTAGAAATCAAATTTTTGGTCGATCATGAACCACCATCACCCTGATGTAGGAATTCAGACTGATTTATGATAGGCCAACGTAAAAAAAACCCAAATTGTTTTGATGGTATATTCCTGCTGAACCAACAAGAATTATTATTAAGCCATCATGGGTATGCATTATTGTACCATTGTGGGCCATCACGAATTTCCACCATAGTACCTTAGAAATCAAATGTTGGAACGATCATGAACAACCATCATCCCAATGTAGGAAGTTGGAACTGATTTATGATGGTTCATCATAAAAAAAACAACAAATTGTTTCGATGGAAACAAGAATTCCCATTAAACCATCGTGTAAATATATAGTTGGAACCATCAGGAATCTTCACGGATCATCATGGAATTGTTGATTCATGAGAGTCAAATTTCCCTCGATGGTTTACCATCATAGTATTAAAGTAGCATTTTCCATCATGGAATGATGAAAGTTTGTTGGCATATCAAAAACCATGAACACATAATTGAAAATGGTGGATGATGGTGAATATCAAATGATGTTTTACCATCATGAATCGCACTGAAACCAACATAAACCATCAAAATTTTTTGATGGGCTATCAGGAATTTTATCTTGGGCACTGCCCGTCTTTATTAAACACACAATCTGATACCCACTGATGAGAAGCTGGGGAGGGAGTCTATAGTATGGCTTTCAGGAGAACTCCTCTAGACACCCGTCTCGNGAATTGTTGATTCATGAGAGTCAAATTTCCCTCGATGGTTTACCATCACACTATTAAAGTAGCATTTTCCATCATGGAATGATGGAAGTTTGTTGGCATATCAAAAACCATGAACACATAATGGAAAATGTTGGATGATGGTGAATATCAAATGATGTTTTACCATCATGAATCGTACTGAAACCAACATAAGCCATCAAAATTTTTTGATGGGTATAGTGCTGCTTTCAGGAGAACTCCTCTAGAGACCCGTCTCGCGTCGTGGCGGTTACCAAGGTTACGAGGAAAGGTCACTTCTAACAGGGGTGTGGAGTGAATAGTTTTGTCTTAATCTTAGCGTAGATCGTCGTGAGTAAACCAATCGACACCTTCTTTCCTCCATTTCACTCCCATTAGAAATGTGCCCTCGCTTGTTACCATAGCAGCAGACTTCCCCAGACTTTCAGTCTGCAGGAGTTCTCCTCAAAGCCGCACTATAAAGGACTGGGTTGGAGTTCCAGTTTTGTACAATGAGAGTTCAGTGTCATAACCACAGAGACATCGCGACTGCTAAGTAAAGTATTGGAAAATAATTTATTTCTTAAAACTGGATGAATTTGGAATGTTTTAATTCCATAAAATCATGAAAAACATGCATTCAAGTAGTTGAGATAGGTTAATTTTAAACTTAACACTATGTATTTTTGTGTGTGTCAGTTTATAATACTTAATTAAATCATTTTTTCTAGATGTTGGACGGTGAATTGAAGGAAATTCGTTTTGCTTGGCCTTCTGATTCCGATGAAGAAGAGAAGGAGATGGAAAAGATTTCCGAAACTACGTTGAAAACCAACGACGTCAATTATATGAATGGTGGGTTATAACATTCACTTTTTAGGTCTCTGAAAATTTTACACAATTTTCTAAAAATTCTAAAATCTTTATTTTATTTTTAATTCAGATTTTTTTTAAAATCATTTTACTGATATTTTTTGAGTTTTTTTTTTGCCTAGGATAGTAAAAAGTAATAATAATACAGTTTATGTGTCTTAGACTCGTAGAAAATGTTAATGATTTTTATACATACTTTTTTTTTAGTTTTGCTGTTAATGAGTCATGATCTTATAGTCCTGGCATTTTTCCATACATATCTTTGCGATTTCACGAGTCTACCATTTGAAACATAGATATGGAAAGATTCTAGACTCCGCGCAGTAAAACAAATCAAGAATCCAATACTAAAGCGAATGCGTTTTCAACAAAGCATACAAACACACAAAAATGTATTTTTCAAAAAAGATAAAGAAACTGCTGACTTTTCAGAATCATTTTATATTGGGAAAGGGAAAAAAATTAAAAAGAAAAACTATTTCTGTGAGAAAAAAAAAGTAGCGCATTTTTAAGATTTGTAGCGTTCGAAAAATAAAGAGTAGCCCAAAAAGTGAGCGGGTAGCCCAAATTCGATTTTCAGTAGCCGGGACTTATAAAAGTAGCCAAATCCGCTACCTGTAGACTTCTCTGGCCTGTTATGGGAAAAGTAGTACCAAGAAGAAGAAAAAGACTCGAAGCAAATATGAATTTTAAACTGTCCATACTACACATTCCCATCGTTTTTTGATGTATTGCCAACTTTCCAAGATAAACTTTCTAAACAATTTTTTTTAACAACCGTAATGGGTTAGAGAGCACTAGCGAGCAGGGGTTGGAGCCTCCTATTTTTATATATTTTCTTTTTATATCTTTAACTTAATTTAGTGAAAATTAAATTTTTATTGCGTTTTGCTTAAATTGTTCTCGTGCTTGACTGGGGCAAATCTTGCAATTTAAATATAAACTACTTTTCAACTAGCAAAAGTGCACAAATTTCTATTAAGTTTTTGTGTCCAGGACAATGCAAGATTCAATCATTTTCGGAACGCTGAAAACTCACGATGTCATTCCCATTTTATTGCCAAATTTAGTGTATATACAATCAAAATTTAGAACTTTTTTTCCGTGATAAATTAAATCAACTCGAAACTAAAATAAAGAAATTAATAAAATAAAAATATTCAAAATCTATGTCTTTTAGGTAAAAATTCGAAGAAATTTTTTTTTTGTCATCGTTAAACGTACGGTTCATCACTTTCACAACAAAGTTCTTGCGCAAATTAAAACGCTGCAGCGTTTTGTGGTGCTTAGGTGCTACATAAAATATACAAAATATACAAGATATTTGCAAAGTATTTTTGCTCAACTTATAAAATCTTAATGCTTTTTTTAAAAAAAAAAACTGTTATATAATTAAAGCTATCTAGTTAAGGCAAATCTGGAGCCCGTTCTAATTGGCGAATCTCTATGAAATTAGGTCATGGCTGCAATCACTCATGGGCTGCTATAGCAGCAAAACTCAAAAAATCATGTTTTGAAATAAGTGGGTTTAAAGTTTTAATTGCTTAGGAAAATGCATGAGAACTGCTTTAGTTTGCTTAAACGAATATTAATTTCAAGTTGAATTATGAGTTGTGCTAGTATTTCTGCTGAAAAGAATGCGTATTTTCATATTTACACCTGTTCTTAGTCCAAAACGCGTGTTTTTTTGACTAGTGCCACTATTGCAGCCCATAAACGATAGATACATACAAAAAAAAAAATCAAACTTCGATCGTCAGTAGAGAAAAGGAGGGTCATATAGAACAATAATACTGTAGTTTTGAAAGGCAAAATTTTATTTAAGCGCATCTTATGTTCAATGTTCAACTGTTTATCTTACAGATCTTTTTCTCATGGTCCATATAATGTATATATTAAAATTTTCATCGAAATCCAACAATAAGTATATACATTATGTGTGTCTAAACTTTAATTAAAACCTCTCTTAAAAAGACTTTCTCTCTTTGAAATGAATGTTGTTTGCAGATTCGTTGGGATTGCACCGAGTTGAGAATCCGAGTCACTCCCAGACCGCAGTTAGTCTTCACTTGTACTCCCCACCGTTCGAATCAGTACTGCTTTTTGATCAACGCACCGGTCACAAGACTCGAGGAAAAGTCACTTTCTGGAGCAAATATGGAGAGAGGACTCCATTTGTGAGTATTTATCTGTTACATTTTTTTCCTAAATACAGTAGGCAGGGATGGCGAACCAATGGCACGCGTGCCATTATGGCACGCGACACAATATTTTGNAATCGCTTCAAAAAGCCGTTTTTTTTTATTGTTAAACCCAACTAAAAAAAAAGTATTTGGAAATAATCTTAAAAAGAAGAAAAAACGATGAAGTAATACACTAATGATTATTTATAAAATGATGATGAGGTAAACATCTTTCAAAAAAGAAAGAAAAATCCTATGAGGGAAAAAAAAATTTTTGAAAAAATGGCGGGAAAATTTATTGAATTTTGTTCCGGTTTTTTGGTTTTCCGGTTTTCTGTTTTCCGGATAACGGGTTCTGTACTGTATTACCTATACATGGTGAGTAGCATTTTTAAAAATTGCTTAAAGGTGCTTATTTTCGATTTTCGTGATTTAAAAAAGCCCTTAAAGGTGCTTTTTTAATTGAGTGTTTTTAAAAAGTGCTTCATTTCCCTTTTTCGAAAATGATATTTTTTTGTTTACCATGTCGATTTTCGCCACGCATTATGCAAAAGCGTGATTTTCGCATTGTTCTATTCAACGTTTTCACAATTCATTCCAACCGCAATCTATTTCGGCGTACTGTCGGTCGTTAGCGTATGAAAGAGCCAATCATTTTACATGTTTGATAAAATACTTGGGAGTCCGCATGTGAGCCTCCTGAGCTGGGATCGATGAGATTATTGCACTCTCATGTGAATGAAGAATTCGATTCACAATTCACAAGAATTCTATTTTTCCTAAATCTTAATAAAATGTCGTTACAGCGTAAGCACGCTGCGCTGCTCCGTACTGCTCCATTGTAACTAAAAATGTGTTGACGAGATGACGGTAGGACCGTTCTCTTAATCTCACAAATTCTCGCCTAAAACAAAATAAACAATTCACGGAGAGCACCACACTCCAAATGCTCAGTTTATGACATTTAATATGTAAGTTTTTGATGAGCATAAAAAAGACAAAATTCAACTCAGACCTTGATTTTCTCTCAGATTTATAATACCTTGGCCCTAGGACACCTAGGGCATAACTTCTTCAGAGTTTATGACTACGTACCATCAACTAAGTGAACAAAAGCTCTTTTATGTGAATCTTTAAGGAGCGTGACGGAAGCACACATAATACCACATAAACGACTATATGACTTCTATATAATTAACTATATAACTAACATACTATATAAGTTCGGATTTTAAAAAATAAATCCGTGTCCCTACACAGGATGTGATAGACAGTCTGTAATTGGACATAGATGAAGATTCTTCATTACAAAACCGAAACGACCGTACTTTGTTTATGTGCTATTATTTGTGCTGTCCTTAGAAAAAAAAAGTACTATTTGATTATAAAACACATCCTAAAGTTTTATTTTTAAGATTAAGGCAAATCTGAATGCCACTGGCAGAGAATTAAAGCTATGAAAGAAAGATATACACTGATGCGAGAAATTAAGAGAATTTTCAGACTTGATCGATCATCTCTAGCATTACTGTACCGATTTTAATGAAATTCGATATGTATATACAGATACAATACAAATCAAATAACCATTCAACAATTGTAATACACACGCATGATCATGCGTAACATTCGTTGGAGTAGGAAGGTATGAAATTGCCAAAGGACAATTCAGGTAAATTGCCACAGGAAATGATAAACTGCCTTATTTCAAGTATAAAATCCCACTGTAAGACCTGGGTTTTTATTGTATAAGAGGGGACCAAACCCCTTATTAACCCATTTTTTTTTTGGTTTGTTCTGCAACTGCTGTTTCATACCTTCCGACTCCAAGGAGTGTTAAAAACGTGCTCTGGAACTACTGTACCTATTTTAATGAAAGTTTATATGTACATACGTTGATACAATACAAAACAAATAACAATTCAACAATTGTAATACACACGCATAATTATAATACACACGCATAATTGTAATACACACGCATAATAGGGATTATGGTCCCCTCTTACATATACAGGCCTTGCAGTGTGATTTCATACTTGAAATAAGGCAGTTTATCATTTCCTTGGCGATTGTCCAGCGGCAATTTCATACCTTTCGACTCCAACGAGTGTTACGCACGATCATGCGTGTGTATTACAATTGTTGAATGGTTATTTGTTTTGCATTGTATCAATGTATGAACATATCAAACTGTATTAAAATCGGTCCAGTAGTTCTCGAGACAATCGACCAAGTCTGAAAATTCTCTTAATTTCTTACACCAGTGTAGATAAGAGTGACATTAACGCCAGCATTTGAATTCAAGGTGAAAACAGAAAAATCGCAGGCACTGCTAGAACAATATTTAGTCCTACGTATTCAAAAGGCGTCACATGCTGCTTGTTTTTCAATGAAGTGATCTTTGCTTTTTTTGCTATATTTATTTACCCTTTGACTACTGATTGCTTCTTGATTATTGTAATGGACGATCAGAGAATGTTTTTGCATGAACATCCGCTTGAAGATCTCCATTTACTCTTGTCCTTGCTATACAATCGCCACTTAAAATTTTGGCCTTTGAACCTAATACGACTTGTTCATTTGGCGTCATTCAGAGATAAAGGTGCTTTACTTTTATTTTCTTATCTGAGGCGACGACTGATCTTTTTTTCTTCTTCCTTCTCCTCAGACGAAATAGACTGAATGAATTAGTTTATACTTGATGAATTTCAAATGTAAACAAACTAAAATCAGGGGTCTGTCCAGACATTTTGTGAAAGGTCCTGTTTTTGTAAAATTGTGAAAAAACTACTCATAATAGGCATGAAAGTTTTCAGCTTTTACTCTGAATTCTACTTTTTTCAAAGCTTTTAAAGCTCCATACATTTATTAATTTCATAATGCTTGATTGCGTTTATGTAGAATTCAACTTTTTTTGCTAACTGGTACTTTCATCCCTGTCATAATTTGTGAATATAAAATAAGCGTTAAGTCACATTCTTTCAACCAGGGTCCTGCTTTTGTGAATTTGCGCAAATAGGGTCCTGTTATTGATAAAAAACTTTTCAAGAAGTTTTTAAATTGTAAATAGATGCAAGATTCCACTCAACAATTGCTGCTACTTAATTAGAGATGCACCATACAAATATTTGGTATTTAGCCTAAACTGCTCAACACAGAATATTCATTTCGGACGAATAATGGAAACAAAATCACTCACATTTTTAATAATTTCAATTGACATATTTTAAATAACGCAACTTAGTTATGGATCACTTTCAATGTGTTACGCATTAAGTAAATTTAAACAATTCTAAAATTTATAATATTTTAATTAAAAACTTGTCAGAAATTAATTTTTATTTTCGTAATATTCTAATAATTAATTTCATGAATAAATTTAAATTGATCAATTATTTATTTACAAAGAAAAAGAATTACAAAACTATCATTTACTATCAATAAGAATGTGCAGACGATGTTTTTAAAAGTAGAAATATTTTCTTAGAATACTACATTTGGAATTTAAACTTAGGAAATAGGGAAAACTTATTTCGTTTCGAACCTTCTTTCTTCCCCCCCCCCGGGAAGGTTGTATTCGATTAACACATGGGTGAAAGCCCTTATATAGCAAGACGGAAAAGAGAAAAACCTGGTACGTAAAACATTTCATTCCAGCATTTTTTTTCGAAAAAAATGAAATATCTGTAACTATCAAGATTTCTTTTATAATTCTGGCATATATATAAAACTGCTTCTTTTCCAAGATAAAATAGATATTGTTGAAAAATTTAAAAAAAGAATAAGTAAACTCCTCCCCAAAACTAGCTACAAATGAAATGGTTTTACTACCAGCCTTTCCTCTTTTCCGTCTCGCTTTCACCCCTGGATTAACAAAACAATAATGAAGATAAACAAATTTGTAAAGGGTCCGATTAAAAGATAAATTATTTTGTGAAGGGTCCGTTTTTATGAAAAGATATTTTGTGAAGGTATGTGTTAACGGACCCAAATTTCTTGCTGAACTGGTTTCTTGCTGGAATTTCTGGCAAAACTAGTTTCCGCTCTGTTTTTCTAAAAAATTATGTGATTTTTGTGATTATCACAAACATAAATGATTCAGTACGCATGTAATCAGTACTACTATCGTTCGTCGTAAATTGTTTTTCTTAAATTGAAGTCGTAGCTATATAGTGACAAGTTTGCAGCAACTTTTATGAAATCTTGCCTACCACTTTTTCAAAATTTTAATCTACAACAGCTGTAATAAAATTTTTGGTTAAGTTGCCCGCATGTAATGTGTTAAGTAATAAAGATGAAAAAGATGAATTGATATGCTATGGGAAAAGTAGTTACTTATTTAAATCCATACTGCTTTCTCTAAAGAAAATTTATCAGCCGTCCTTCTGATACCTCCCTTCAAAATAGAAACGATTTTCCCTTATTTTTTCATATTGCTAAAAGCATTTTTCCCGTCATCAAATAATGTATACTCAACCCTTTTCTTGAAGTTAATCCTCATATTCATTTTCAGGGTGTTGAATCAGCTAAATTGGATGAAGAAGATTATGAAAATAATTGAAGAGTTTCAGATTGTATATAGTTTCATCACATGCATTGTATTATATGCATGAGTTTTGTTGTTAATGTTTAGTTATCAATAAAGTTATTAATGTTGGATAAGCAATTCATTCATATACTATAATAATAGATTCCTTTAAGTTAAACTTTGTTTTAAAGCTGGAGAATTAAGACTTAGCTGGACTTAAGACTTAGTTATTAATTTGACGATCCAAAGCAGAAACACATTAATTTTCGATTGTTTATAACTGCCATAGGGTTATCTGTCTGAGTTGGACAAAAATGTGATCGATTACATTTTTTTGATTACAGTAATAATTACTTGTAATCATGATTACAAGATGAATTAATCTTGATTACAACTGTAATCGTGATTACAACAAACAATTACAGTAATCAATTCCTTGTAATCGTGATTACAACTTTGATTACAGCTGCAATCATGATTACAATAGTCAATTACAGTAACTAACTACTTGTAATCGCGATTACAACTTTCAAAAACTTTGATTACAGCTGTAATCATGATTACAATATTGATTACAGCTGTAATCAAAATTTTGATTACAACTATAATCATGATTCCAAGTAATTGCGATGACAAGTAATCACAACAAAAACGATTGCGGGTAATCATGATTACAAGTAATTGATTACATAGCAGTAATTATCTGTAATCAATTACAGTTGTAATCGATTACTGTAATCGACGGCCAACTCTGTTACCTGGCAGGCGTCAGTTTGGGTGTTATCTGGAATGTTGTATCTTTCTTTCTTCGATGAATTACTGAATATGAATTAACAAATGAATGCCATGGATGGTCGACTGAATGTAAAAAATAATAAATTTCCTAAAATTGGAAGAAATTTCGAACACTTCTGTTGTATTCTTCCGCTTATGTATCCTTTCGCTTACGAAGCGATGTGTGAACAGGCTTAATATTCTATAGAGTTTTATTAGCGTTATTTGTGTTTAAATTTACGATTAATTTAACCATTTTTAAGAGTTTTTTTGTAATTTATAAATTCTAACAGGTGGTGAGCCCAAAAATAATTTAACAAAATTAATATCACAGCATAATTGAAGTGTTAGGATAGCCATGTTTTGAGTGCTATCTCTTATTTAGCTATATTTGTGTAAAATAGCACCGCTTGTTATTTTTTGGGGTAGCATCATAGCAAGCTTTCTCAGTCTTCCGAATTTGTTGCTTGTTAAATTGAAGGAACGCGTTATATTGAAAACACTGCAAGTATAATAATATTGGAGGGTGCGTTTTTTCAAGCTTACGCGTAAAAAAATCAGTTGAAAGTAATAAACTAAATCTTCTCAAATCAAACAACAAAAAGAGCTCTAATTTTATACAACGAGTACTTTTTCGCCAAGACATATCTCGCTAAAAGTGGCAGCTGAATAAGGCTGACGACGAGATGGATTTTATACAGTTACGTTTTAAGAGAACTTTAAATCTGGTTGTAAATTAAATGTGGTTAGTCATTTTGGATTAGTAATATAATGCTATATAACTATCTGTTTTTACGAATTTAAAAACATAAATTACTTTTGCTGTTATTAAAACTGAAGAAAATCAATTTGGATGATGATGAAAATTAACATGATCTTTGCGCTAAAATCTTTATCAAAAATCTTAAATCAGACAAAGGGATAACGTTACCTCTCAAAAGGATACGGATGGCGGAATTGTATCGGTAAAACTTTGCCAGAATGAGTCAGTAGAAAATCGAAAATACCTATGTGCTATATTTCTCGAAATCTGATTGCGTCATTGCTTCCTATTTCACATGTTTTTGTGGATGAAACCGAATTAAAAGCATATTTCGTTTCCAAGTAATTTGATAATTGATATTGAGTTCGGTAGAAACACATCATTACAAAATCTTTAAGTAATTTAAAGTAAAGAATAAAATATTGTAAAAATATTTGAAAAACAACAGCTTCTTTCTTTTTTTTTGGATCTGTACGAAAAAGTAATAATTGAAATATCGCTTGTAAGTAATAAATATGCAGGTTATATAGTATTGGCTAATTTTCAAGGCAGTCTTTTTATTTTAAATAAAAGTTATCTTAGAACGCGTTGCAAACACTTTTCATAAAATTAAAAAAAAAAANAAAAAAAAAAAAAAAAAAAAAAAAAAAAAAAAAAAAAAAAAAAAAGCGAATGAAAAGTCGGTGGTTTACTTCAAATTATAATTTTTTTTTCAAAACTTTTGTAAAATGTTTAAAAAAAGTAGTTGGAAAATTAGTGATTTATCTGGATTTATTAATTTTATACGAAAAACACTGACTTTTCACTTGTTTTCTGTAAAAATTTTATAATAAACTCTTGCAACAAATTTTAAGATAAACGCCAAGAAAAAATTATTACTGATATTTATTAAATATAATTACCGAAACTATTTAAGCTCGATTTTCATAAGCTACACGTCATATTTAGTAGAATATTTGTTTGTCTTAGGATGCTTTAAGTCTTTGAAAAATTACATTATATATACAATAACCTCATTTCTAAATTAATAATAGTAACCCATAGAGGGCAGCACCATTAGTAGTCTAGACATCTTTAGAGTAAACTTTATTGTAGTAAATTTAATTCTACTGTAAATTGTAATACATTAACCAAATATAGATTGTAAAAATAAAAATATAAATTTAATTTTACCATTTCTATTCAAAAATGTACACAAGGGAATATCCTTTAAATAAACCTAAATATATATAAGATTATCAGTTATATACTTTTTCCTTTTCTTTATCTGGTGGCTTAATTTACATTGCTATTTCCAGTAATGAACTGATTTATGTATTTAATCTACATTAGCAAAAAAAAAACTGTCTTTATAAATATTTATTACCGACATCTGATTCCACATGAACAAAAACGAAAAAAAATAATCTCTCTTAATATTAGTAAAGTTAAATGTTTACAGATGGCAGCACTATTAGCAAACTTATCAAAGTTAAAAAAAACTTCACGAAAAGCAAACAAAAATATATTTAGAAGAATAGAGAGAAATTAAAAAAAAAGAAATTGCATACTTCACTATTTCGATGCTTAATAAAATTTGCCTTTAAAATATATACATTCTTGCTCTAAAATAAATAAAAATATAAAAAAAATAGTGAAGGTTAAATGTAAAATTCTCTCTGATTCATCTTAATTCATAAATAATTTTCAAGATGTTTGGAAATAGTAGCATTATTATCTGTTATGAACAAAAAGTAATCAAATTTAATAATCGATAACAAAATTTCGAAGAATATTGTAAATAAAATTAATATTTAAAAATAAATTTTCGCTAAAAAGATTTATGTCATGTATTATAAAAATTCAGATAAATAAATGTGTTTCAAAAATTTCATTCGCTTTAAAAATATACCCGAGTAGCACACAATATCGATCAATTAAAAAAAAAAAAAAAAAAGATCGCCGATAACGACATCGAGAAACTCTGCTCTGGAACATCTGATGTTCAAAATTTGCGAAAATGTTAAGACTTTTAGTCACATTGTACAATATCGCAAAAACGATGTAGATCGATGCTGTAAAAAACATTGTGGAATGCCAATCGGTACCTCCCAGCACTTACTAAGACTGTAGGATGCCGACCGACGTTGTCAATAAGATATTCTAAAAAACGAATGCTGTGAGATGTTGGTCGTCACCAAAATTACGTTATTTGTTAAAAAAAAAAAGAAAAGAAAAAAAAAGGGGGGGGGGGAATATATAGGCCTGTTTGCACTGCTGTAAAAGAGAGAATAATAGTGATAAAATAAAATCAGCAATACACTGAATTTAATAAGAGCAATTTTAAAAATTACAGATATTTTGTGATATTGCCCTTCACGTTAAAATGAAAATAAAAAACATAACAAAAAAGAAAAGAAAAAGTCATATAAGAACGAACTACCTCCATAAGATAACATAAAAACATAATTTTAATGAAAACTTTTTCCATTATTTTGACAGATTATTATATTCCAGCAGAAAGGTAATTTTTTTGGCAGAAAAGTAAAGATCCAGCTTTCTGAAATAATCTATGTTTCTTCAGCGCAAAATGAATTGTCATCAGCATAAAATTAATAAAAAATACGAACGTGATGGTTACCTGTAAAATGTTTCTTTATCTCTAATTCAAAGATTCTATTTATTTAAGAGGGATTAAAAAAATAATAAAATTGGAAAAACAAATTGTAGGTGAATTTATAATGGTCACCGCGAAAAATGCCCAATCGAATTGCTAACTATCCCAATCAAATTACTAATTAACCCAATCAACTATCCCATTTGAATAACTAACTAACCCAATCAACTATTCCAATCAAATTACGAACTAACCCAATTAACTATCCCGTTTGAATAACTAACTAACCCAAGAAACTATTCCAATCAAATTACTAACTATCCCATTTGAATAATTAACTAAGCCAATCAACTATCCCAATCGAATTACAAACTAACTAAATCTGTAAAAACAAATTTGTGTTAATAAAATAAAAAATTTTGGAACCTTTCAATTCAATACTTTTTGATTTGGGTGCAACAATTTTTTTCATCGTTAGAAGACAAAAAAAAAAGAAAGAAAAAAAAAAGAAAAAAAAAAGAAAGAAAGAAAAAATTTTTGCGTAGCAATTATGGGGTTGGTGAGAGAGGCGAACAGGAGGCAGAGCCCTCTAGTTCTAGTATACTCTAAATAATAGATTAATAGATAAGATTAGAATGAAAGTAGAATTATTGTTATTATGTTTTTTTTTCTATGAATGATAACAGTTGAAACTAAAGTAAAATTAGAGAATTTATTAGAATTATATTTTTCAGGAAGATTTTTGTAAAAGAAGAATTTGTAAAAAAATATTTTGTATCAGAGAAAATAAAAAAAAAAAAAAAAAATGAACGAACAGGAAGCAGAACCCTCTAGTTCTAGTATACCTTAGTAATAGATAAGATTGGATTAAAAGCAGAATTATTATTATTATGTTTTTTTTTCTATGAATGATAACCGTTGAAACTGAAGTAAAATTAGAGAATTTATTAGAACTATATTTTTTTAGGAAGATTTTTGTAAAGGAAGAGTTTGCATATAAG